AGGATAATGTGGCGGTGGTGGCACGCCACCATTAGTAGATTCAAAAACCATTTGATGATGCATAGCATTTGGGATTATAAGAGGTTGTTTTCCAGATGATTGAGGAGGTGGTTGCGGTCCTGACATTGTTTGCAATTGATTATTAGTATTTTGTGGCCATGAATGATGATATTGTTCAGAATGTAACACTGGTTGTGTTCTATAGTATTGCATCTCGTTCTTGATCGCAGGAGTAGTAGTTTGAATTTGCTTTTTAGTTGGATCATCTATTAATAACTTGTTATTATTATTAATATTAGGAGAATTAAGCAGTGATGCCGATGTTTGTAACTTTTGTTGTTGTGGTAGAATTTGTTGCAAAGATTGTTTGTTATTTGATTGAGGGAGATGGATTTGTACTTGTGTGGCTTTTCCAGGTTGGGGTTGTGGTTGAGAGGCGGGAATAATAGAAGTAGAAGAAGGTAGCTGTGGCTGTGAGATTTGTTGTGGCGTAGCTTGTTGAAGTGGCTGTTGAACAGACAATTCTATCTTTGTCTTTGAGTCTTGGCCTTGAAAGATTTTTTTCTGCGGGCCACCACAAAAGGTTTCAGCACGTAAATGTCTGTTCAATGCATCCATTCTTGCAAATTTTCTTTTACAGTGTTGACATTGATGAGGTTTTTCACCGGTATGTAATTTTAAGTGTCTTTTCAAATCATGCTGTCTACGGAAAAAATGTTGACAAACATCACATCTGTATGGTTTTTCTTTAGAGTGTGTTAATGCATGTGATTTTAAATTGTGTTGGCGACTAAATGTTTGATTACACTCAAGACAAGTAAATGGTTTAGGTTTTGATTGAGATTGAGGAGAGTTATTTTGTGATGCGTTGTTTGATTTTTCTTGATTTATAGAAAATTGATTAAAACTTCCCGTGGTAGGTGGAGCTGATTCCAATGGCTCTGTTTGGTTCTCTGATGACGAAGATGCTTTAGATTGAGAAAGTACTGATACGTTAATAGTTTGATTATTATTATGTGGAGGTGACGATTTCAGATTGGCAGAAGCAGGTTTATTAGAATTAATAGTGGCAGAATTATTACTAGAGTCATTGTTGCCATTATTATAACTAATGTCGTTACCATTCTCATATTTAATACTTTTAATCCCAAATGCTATGCATCATCAAATGGTTTTTGAATCTACTAATGGTGGCGTGCCACCACCGCCACATTATCCT